GCAAAGTAGCTGATATCGATGCAAGACCATGCCCAGTATGGTTCCGCCGCCACATTTCTGCTACAACATTGTCATACTCCGCATGAGACTGCCATATATCCTCATACCGAAATTGCTTTGGTCCCCTTTTATTCAAAGAATCACGAGTTTCAACAAGTACAAAACAATGGTCTGACTCTATAGAACTAATATGACGTACACGAGAAAGCTCGTATCTTTGCAGAAATTCGGCATTTGCTACACCTCGATCAAGACGGGCTTTAATATTATGTCCACCCGCCTGCCTATTATCCCATGTGAAGGGTACGCCTGAGAAGCCCATGTCCTGCAAAGCGCACTCTTCCAGAGCCTCGCGAAACGCCCGCATCTGCCACTCCGGTCTAGCCGCTCGACTGAAGTGCTCAGTGCCATACAATGTCTCGTTAAAATCTCCAACACACATCCATGCCTGATGTTGAATAGCGTGCAGTGTGCATAGACATCTCCAGCTATGATGCCTATCCTCACTCCTTGGAGCTCCATAGAACCCCGTAAATCTCCATTCGGGAGTACTATTATCAGCTTTCCGGACCATAACGTCGATATGACCAGAACTGAAGTTTTTGAGATCAACTATCATGTCTTTGGACCAAAACAGTCCAATTCCACCACTAAGCCCATTACTATCCACCGCAAAACATCCCGCGAGCCCAAGTGTTTGCTGTAATCTTTCCACTCTCTTCGCCCTAATCTTTGTCTCCATAACAAAAACTAGGGAAGGCCCTTCTTGCTTCACAATTTTGCGAAGCTCTCGAACTGCCTCGGGGTTCCCAAGCCCCCGGCAGTTCCAACTTAAACAATTCATTGGCTCCGGCAGGGCTGACTATCAGCCGCTGCCGAGTCTTCCGAAGTTGGTGGCGTAGGTTTCTTCTTCTTTGGATCAGGCTCAACTGCTGAATCCTCCCCAACTTTTAGCCCTACGTTAGAGTCCTTTCCACCTGAATTGAAAACCACTATATCCATATGCGCAACTGTGCCAGTACCATGATTTTTTGCACCTGCCGCCAATGCCTCTGGATCCACCCTCCTGTAGACCCTATTCTGCTGCGGGCCTCCCTTTCTTTTATTTGTATTCTCTCTATACTTTACTGGGGAAGTAACCTCAGCTGAACCCGTAGCTTTCTTCTTTGGCTCCTTCGCATCAGCCATGCTGTTATTTGAACTCTGCTGCTCTTTGAAGAAAAAGGGTTTTCCCCCGCTTTATAGATAAAGCATCACCGAACAACCGAATCCTGCCGATACAAACACACACACACACCACACACACCCAAGGCTGGATACAAGGACGCTGATAACAGCAACACTACCCCGACAAAATCCTAGCCACCATCAGATGAAACACAATCAGTACTACTACAATGATGTCAGGGCCCTCAACCGTGGGCGGGCCACCGCGAAGAGGAGAAGCCGAGTAGGACGAACAATGAGCTCCAAAGCGGCGCCTTCAGCAAGGAAACGACACCATCGTGTCGCCACCGCCCAATCCAAGGATTAGAGTTTCCCCCGGAGCACTCCGACGACAAATGAGATGCCGCGACGGCGCCTTCAAGAAGGGGACGACGCTGGAACGCCGTCGCTGTCGGCCTGGCAGAGCAGAACGGGTTTTCACCCCGACCAACACTCATCGTCACCGGATTGGATGAACGACCCACCCCGGTCAACACGCCGCCCACACGGCCATGCTGACCGGACAACGCCCGAGCCGCGTGCTCCGCCCAAGAGCACCCCGGCTACAACCAACCGGGCCGCCGCCACGGCATCCGAGCCCCACCCTCAACCAGGACACACCGAACGGACACGGCTGACCAGAACGAAGCGGAAGCTCGCCTTCCACCCCAAAGTCGACACCTTGGCATGATCGGTGACCTCGGCGGCCGGATCAGGGCCAGGGGAACTCCGGCGGCCACCCGCGGCAGTCGCCAGATGCAACGGAGGGGGCACCCCGCCCCTTCCCGGAGTCCCCTGCCACCACCAGTAGGCCTCGCGCGCACCACCACGCCATGGCGCCACCCCGGCCTGACGAGCCCGTCGGTGAGTCCAAAGAAGAGGGAGGGAGCTCACCCGAGTCCGACGCAGACGAACCGCCGTCGGAGAGAGCCGTCGTTGCCGCGCGCAGATCGGACAACCACCAGGCCGCAGCAGCGCCGCTGCAGACCACCCCACTCCGAGGTCAAGACCGACCTCGGCCACCGCCCCGCGCCGCCCGCCGCCATCCAGGAGCCGGATCCGGGAGGATCGGGCCGGATCCGCGCCAGCATGCCACCGCCCAGATCGGGAACCCCCGCGGCCGCCACGCCACAAACGAGCTCGCCGCTCGACGTCGCGTCCCCAACAGGCAACCCCGCCGCCGAACTCCGAGCCAGCCGCCGCGCCGCCGGCCCCGCCAAAGCCCGGCGCCCCCACTCGACCGGCCGTCTCGCGCCAGCCGCGGAGCATGAGGGGGAGGAAGAAGAGGCCCCGCCGCCGCCCCCACCGGCCGGGCTTCGCCCGCCGGCGTCGCTGGGCGGCAGCGAGGGAGGAGAGCAGAGGAGGGGGAGGTGGGTTGCGGCGGCTAGGGTTCCCCCTGGTCGCTCGCGAGAGAGCGACACGGGAGGGGAGGGAACTTCCGGCTTCCCATTTTCATGGATCACTCTGCTGCTCTTTTGATGCACTATCTCCTGAGGCAGCAGGTTTCCTGTCCTCCGGTGCTCTCAGACTTGTATTAAACGGCAAATCTCCATTCTCATCTCGAGTACCAGGCGTAGGACAGACAATATCCGCGTGGCCAAGTCGACCAGGAGAAACAAAAATTGGGAACTTGCTCATACTGCACATCATACCAGTCCCTCCCCTTTCTCTTTGCAGAGTCAATTAAGATCCAACGCCGCAAGGGTTTAGATACATCAGCTGTAACCCGGGCTCTCAGAAACCCCCCCACGGGATCAAACTGAACTGATTTTACCTGATTATCAATCTGTCTTGCCACCGCCAAACCCCTGACTTCGTTTTGCATGTTGAAGGGAAGGTTCAAAACCCTAGCCCACATCTGGAGTTTGTCAAAGCTGAGCTCCGACGGCCGCATACTATCCTCAAACTCAGTAAGTATCACTGCATGCCGACTTACGTGCCACGGAGATCCATCCCGCACGCGATCACGATCGCGTCGATTCTCGAACTCCGCCACGAAGATATTTTCCCCCGCCGGCTTAAAGAACAGCCCCCTAGGGTTACCCCATGCCGGCCTCAAGGCGTTTGCAATTGTCTGGATATGGAACACCTTGCGGTGCAGAATTTTCCCAGCAATCGCCCACTTCTGTTGATGCCCTTCCTCCAGATCATCCATCACCAGAGGGGTGGCTTCCTCCTCCGTGAGATCCAATCTACCCATGGCTTCCTCCATCTGAGCCCTCGCCGACCTGTCCGGCGCAGCCCCTTGCTTTCCTTTGTTAGGCTCTGAGGACGAGGCCATCCTCAGCCCTGTTCGTTGTGCGACTCACCGACGAGGTGTCAGCGAACGCCGCCGTATCCACCGAAACCCTAATCGCCCTTAGCGAGGGCTCCTAGTTTTTCAGGGAAAAAGTACTGGTATAATACATCTCCGTTACCGCGTAGTTCACGATCCAATAAACTGTCGCCAGCTCACTAGATACATCGAGCATACATGTGTTGTGTAGGAGTATATAACAGGGTGCAGGTAAATCACACAAATTACAACACGCAAATTGAACCTGCCATTGCACATTGCGTGGGATCATTTACACACACGTCTCCTCCACAGTTAGCGATGGCATGTCCCAAGCCATTCCACTTGCTGCTTCTGCTCCTGCAACTCCAGCTCATCGCCGTGAACTTGCTTCACCGTCCGGAGGCTGCGTTCACTGATCACACCCCGGCGTCGCCGGAGTGTCTGCCGGACCAGGCGTCAGCGCTGCTCCGGCTGAAACGGTCCTTCTCCGCCACAAATCACTCCACCATCGCCTTCCGTTCATGGAAGGCCGGCACGGACTGCTTCCGCTGGGAAGGCGTCCGATGTCATGGCTCCACCGGCTGCGTCTCCTCGCTTGACTTGGGTGATCGCGGCTTGGAGAGTCCCAACCTCGATCTCTCGTTGTTCGAGCTAACCTCGCTCAGGTATCTCAACCTGGCCGGAAACGACTTTCGTATGTCCGAGATACCATCCATCGGGTTTGAGCGGCTCACCAAGCTCACCCACCTCAACCTCTCAGCCACCAACTTCTCAGGCCAGGTGCCACGCAGCATAGGCCGCCTCACCAACCTCGTCTCCCTCGACCTTTCCTTCCGCTTCGAACCATCAATTGGGCCTTTCCACGTCGATGGCAAGTTTCACGCCGACATAACTCGCCAAGGGCAGCTCACACTCCCAAACTTAACAGCCATACTTGCAAACATGGGTGGTCTGAGGGAGCTCCATCTTGGCTTCGTGGATCTCTCCAGTCAAGGGGGTGAGTGGTGCACTGCTTTGGCCAGGTACACTTTGAATCTCCGTGTTCTTAGCATGCCATACTGTGAACTCACCGGCCCAATTTGTGGACCAATTGCCGGTTTACAGTCTTTGTCAGTGATTGACTTGCAAGTTGCAACACAATCATTTGACCGGTCCATTTCCGGAGCTCTTTGCTGAATACTCTTCTTTGAGTGTTCTTCAACTCGGTTATAATGACCTTCATGGATGGGTCCCTCCGTCTATCTTTCAACACAAGAGATTGGTGACTATTGATCTTCAGCAAATTCCTGGCCTATCTGGTACTCTACCCAATTTCTCAGCTGATAGTAATATTGAGAATTTGCTCATCGGCAACACCAATTTCTCTGGTACAATTCCAAGTTCCATCAGTAATCTCAAATCCTTGAAGAAGTTAGGCCTTGGCGCACAGGGTTTTGCTGGTGATCTTCCCTCATCAATCAGTGAGCTCAAATTCTTGAGTTCATTGCAGGTCTCTGGCTTAGAAGTAGTAGGATCTATGCCACCATGGATCACAAACTTAACTTCCTTGGAGGCTCTTGAGTTCTCCCTTTGTGGCTTGCATGGACCAGTACCTTCTTCCATATGTGAGTTGTCAAAACTGAGAATATTGTCAGTTTATAGTTGTAACTTTTCAGGGAAAATACCTCCATGTATTTTTAACTTAACTCAACTAGACACCCTATTACTTCATTCGAATAATTTTAGTGGCGAAGTGGAACTTAACTCGTTGTGGAAATTACCAAACCTATCTAACTTAAAGCTCTCAAATAACAAACTAAATGTAATAGATGGAGAAGATATTACTTCTTCCATGTCTTTCCCAAACATAAAGTTCTTGGAGCTAGCATCTTGCAACATAAGTAAATTCCCCAATGTATTGAAGCATTTACCTGGGATTTATGTGATTGACCTTTCAAACAACCAAATTCAAGGGCTCGTGCCACAGTGGGCTTGGGAGACATGGAGCAATTCACACCTTTTCTACCTAAACTTATCCCACAATATATTTACTAGTGTTGGCTATGACAGCTTTCTCCCTTTGGGCCCAGTAGACCTGTTGGATCTCAGCTTCAACATGTTCAAGGGGCCTATACCCATACCAAGATCCTCTGGCAGTGTGCTAGATTTCTCATGCAACCATTTTTCATCCATGCCACATAATATTTCTACTCAGCTTGAAAAAACTACAATTTTCAAGGCATCAGGAAACCAACTCTCTCGGGATATTTTACCGTATTTTTGTGGTACAAAGATACAATTTCTTGATCTATCTAACAATATCCTCCATGGCACAATACCCTCATGTCTAATGAAGGATGGAAATGCATTGAAGGTTCTAAATCTGAAACAAAATCAACTTCAAGGAGAGATGCCTCATGATGTCAACAACAATTGCATGCTTGAGGTGCTAGACTTCAGTGGAAATTGGATCCAAGGGCAATTGCCTAGATCTCTATCTTCTTGCAAGAAGTTGGAGGTTCTGGATGTGGGAAATAATCGGATCAACGATTCTTTTCCATGTTGGATGAGTGGACTTCCTGGTCTTCAAGTACTTGTCCTGAATTCTAACGAATTCTTTGGACAAGTGGCACCATCTGTTGCTAATAATAAAAACAATTGTCAATTTCCAAGACTGCGAATTCTGGATCTCGCCTCCAACAACTTCTCTGGTACATTGACAGACGGCTGGCTTATGAATCTAAAGTCCATGATGGTCGATACCTCTAACGGGATATCAGCGATGAAATACACATTTGAACTACAAAGGCTCCAACAAGAATATCAAGTCGCCACTATACTCACTTACAAAGGGTATTCCATCACACTTCCAAAGATCGCAAGGACCCTTGTACACATTGATGTGTCAAACAATGCATTCCATGGTAGCATCCCCCAAGCTATCGGGGATCTTGTTTTGCTCAACATTCTCAACATGTCACACAACTCCTTGACTGAAGGAATTCCGTCCCAGCTTGGTCGTTTGAAGAAACTAGAGTCTTTGGATTTATCCTCGAACGAGCTTACGGGAGTAATTCCACAAGAGTTAGCATCTTTGGACTTCCTTGGGACACTAAACTTCTCCAACAATATGCTGGAGGGAAGAATACCAGGATCACCTCATTTTCAGTCATTTTCCAACAGCTCATTTCTCAGGAACGATGGGTTGTGCGGACCTCCATTATCCAAAGAATGCAGCAATGATACAAGGCCATATACCACGGTTCATCCGTCGAAGGAAAACCCTACAGACATGGTGTTATTTCTCTTTTCTGGATTGGGATTCGGTGTTGGGTTTGCAGTTGTAATCATAGGGACATGGGTTCTCCCTATTAGAAAGAAAAGTTGAAATGGTGCTCTATTTTCATTTAGAATCAGTGGGGTAATAGGTGAGAAGATTATGAAAACATATGTACTACATAATTGGTAGTAGTTACTGTTTTTCTTAGGTGAGGAGGTAGTAGTTAATGTTGTACTGTTGTATTACTGTTGCAAGTCATCTGCATCAAGGCTTGTAACTTAAGGCTGGTCGTAATGGTAGTATCATAGCTAGTATCATGCATGCCAACTAATTTTTTTTATGAGGTGTCATAGCCTTAAATGAAGAAAGAGAGGATGAAGTATCATATCATGATACTGTATCATAATTAATGATATGCTACTGTGTGTCATGCATGGCAATAAATAAAGTACTACATAATAATAATATATGATACTATGCATTACGGAGGTAGTATCATACATTAGTATCATTGCATGATACTAGCATATGATACCCCCCATTACAACCAGCCTAAGGGGAAATGGTGTGACATGTTGTATCATGAAAATACATTATGATGTGCCTCTTTACTCAAGTCCTGATCTGAATTCATAGTTGGGTGAACGAATTTTCAGAGTTACAAGATTCCTTTTTCTCCCTGTAAAAATATTTATGCTTTTTTAGCGCAAGTTTTTCAGTTAGTATTGCAGACTCGAGATGATAATATACACTACTGTCTACTAAAGTGCTGAAGCAGGTCTGTAAGTTGGTAAAAGAAAACATTGGAGAATGATCCGACCATATACATGCACAGATTCAGAAAAAATGATGAACGCTGGATGCTTGCCTGGTACTTAGCGGTTCCGGTAGAAAATGCAATACGCAGAAGCACTTCTGTACCGAGTTTGCAAGAGAACATTGGTGCACTTCCAACCATACATTATCCCATCAGAGGTGTGTAAGTAGGTGCCACAAAGAAAAAGAGTCCATGCATGCATAATCCCACATTGGCAACTGCATACAACTACAAACTTCGAAGATAATAGGGTTAATTATCCTTTTGCCCTCAGTGGTGTCCATTGTGCTCAGTTTTGCCCTCAGATGCGAATTGTCCTCAGTTTTGCCCCTAGTCCGTGCGCACCGACTCGTTCCGTGAACTCTGCCGTCTCCGTCAGGTCAACCTTTTGACTCGGCCCTTACAGGTGGGACCAGGCGGCAGAAACGGCCAATTTTATTCAGACCGTTGCACGCGTGGCTTGTGGGACCCAGCAAAGAGCCGTTGAGCAGAGAGCCGTTGGCGGGTGTGCTATATAAGCGGGCGACAGCGGCGGTGACCACGGCGACAGAGAGCACGGCGGTGACCACGGCGAGAGAGAGAGCACGGCGGCGGGAAGCTAGCTGTGGAGGGCGCGGCGGTGGGAAGCTAGCAGTGGAGGGCGCGGCGGCGTTGAGATCCCCTTCGGCTCCGAGCTCCATGTCTTCCTCAAGCTCCCGCGCCACCTCGCGGATGCAGAGCCGGGCGCGTGTGGACATGCCTGTCTTCGTCTGTCCGCGGTGCCGGGCGGGCGTTGATCGAAGGGTTTCTCAGACACCGAGGAACCAGAATCGTCCGTTCTACGTGTGCAGCGAGAATGGGGTAAGAATCGGGGAAATTGCACCATTTTCGTCGTCGGGATGTTTGAGCAATGGGTTGATCTGTTTAGTGTTCATGCAGGTGACATGCTTCTTTCTTTGGGTCGATGCTCTGGCCAAGACTCTGATGAATGAACTGCAAGAAGAGCATGAAGAATGGTTGCGCATGCTGCCACGAACGGCAGTGGCCACACCACGAGCTCCGGAAGAAGAGATGGATGGCGAAGCACGCACTGACAGAGAGCTAGCTATTGAGCTTAGGATGTTGAAGAAGAAGGTTAGGAAGCTTGAAGATCAAGCACTACCAATACCCATTTGCAAATACTTTTGGGCATTTGTAGGTATGGTAATCGCACTGGTTGTAATGTTGAAAATGTATGGAAAGGCATGAATTATGAAGGAATTTGTAATCTTGAAATTGTTTGAGAAATTCACCTAGTTTAAATGTTGGTTAAAGTTGTTTAAATGTTGAAACAAAAAGAGAAGAAGTGACCAATATTTAAATATGTTGGAAAAAAAGAGAAGAAATTAGGAATTCAGAAACTTTTGATCAATGAAATGCAGCTCCCTGCTCCGCCTTTCTGTCCGAAAAAAAGGTTGCTCTTGGGCCAAATTCAGAGCGTAGAGCCAAGTGCAGGCTAGACTAATGGGCCAACTGCATCCAATTAGGCCCATTCAGGGGTTTTCTTGCGTATTTTTTTGTTTTCTATTCTGATTTAATTTAGGCAGTAAATCATAATGCTGAAACTTTTTGTGGAAGCTAATTGAATTATTCCGGAGCCAAACAATTAAGGTTAGAAATTTTTTGGAGCTGTTAATTAATCCAATTCAAATACACCGTGATTTAAATCAAAGACCAAAATGTCATGGAAAATGTGCCTCAGCTCTAGTAGAGGTTTACGCCAGGTGCCAAAATAAATGAACATTTTTTAAGGGCATTACATTGAGGAAAACATAATATGTATAAAAAATGAAGGGTGGAAAATGCACAAAAAATTGGTGCGGCTGGGGACTCGAACCCAGGACCGCGTGGGTATGTGGTGTTTAGGGCTGCGTTGGTAACCGCTAGGACAGATGGCAAGACTTTGACATAGGTAGGGAAGGAAGGTATACATAGTGAGAAACTTAAAAAAATAGTGAGACCGTGAATGTTTGCACACGCGTGAGAGTGGTTTTCCTTTGTTTTGGATTTAAATTTTGGAGGGTTGGAAGGTTGAAAATGTATGTTGCACTACCACATGATTTTGGTCAGAGTGGCACTTGGTTTAGGGTTAGAGTGGCACTTGGTTTAGGATTTAAAGGGAATAAATTTACATGTTAATTCATGACTTTTTGTTTGAATGAAACGGAGGGCTTCTCACCCCCTACGATTTTCATTAATGAAAACCACAAGTTCTTGAACTTCATGACTTGTTTAGGGAAGAAATGATAAGTTTGGGCACGGACATTTTTTAACACACATAATGAGATAGAACACACCGTACCATTACAATAACTTAGATAAGTTCACGGACAGTTCATGGACACATGACGAAACATGACACGACACGACATGACATAGAAAAGCAACAAAATAAAAAACCAAACATGACGAGCTTGACTCCGGGCTTGAACATCTTCATCTTGACCTCCTTCTTCCACCTTGGCCGCGCGCCCCTTCAACACCATCTTCATCTTCACACCTCCTCCTCGTCGTCGTAGGTAAGGGAGTGCATCTGGCCTGGAGCGGGGAAGATGCGCTCGTAGTTGGTGTAGATGTTGTAGATGGTGAAGAAGATGGCCTCGCAGCCGCACCAAAAGACTTGGCCGAGGAGCTCGCGCGCGTCAAATGGGTTGGTGAAGGTGACCGTGAGCAGTAGGAGGATGCCGCCGCGGTCACGAACCTCGTTGAGGGTGAACATCCTCGGCGAGCCCCGTGGGAGGTGGGCATAGCCGGCTCTGAGGAAGGCGCGGGTGAGTTCGACGGAACCCCTCCACCTTGAAATAGCCCACACACGGAGCTCCCTCTCCACGAGCACGCCCGGTGGGTAGCGCAGCTCCGGCACCACAGGCGGACGGCGGAAGGTCGGCCCGTTGAACTGCATCTTCTTCACTTGGTCTCGCTTGGGGAGGGCTTGGTCGCTTGGGTGTTTGAAGTTGGAGAGGATCGGATCTGGCTTGTGGGTGGGAGAGGAAGAGAGGCACCCCATTTATAGGCCTGTGGGTGGGAGAGGAAGAGAGAAAGGATGAGAACGGTGCGTGAATGAATCCGGACGCGTGTGTGTATCCGTTACGTTTTGCACACTTAAATTTTTGCACGAAAATGATGCATCTTTGATCGGGCAGTGCATGTGAACCGCTGCCCTGAACCACTGCCCTGAACCACCTAGCTCGCCTCGCTAGCCTAGCTCGCCTAGCTGGCCTAGCGCGCCTCGTTCGCCTCACTTGCATGCATGCACGTCGCCGCCTCCCGCGCATGCGCAAACCCACGTAGACGCCTCCATGCATGCAAGGCCTGGAAAGGCTGAGACGGGCTATTTACTGCGATCTCAGGCCCAGACAACGAGACGGCCCAACGGTCCATCCAGCGCGTCCGATATTTGTTAAAAAAACAATCTCCCAGCCAATCAGATTGCATCTCGCGGATCGCCCCCCTCCTCCCCGCAGATTTCTTCTAGAAGGGTTAGATCGACGGCCCTTGATCACCGCTAGGGTTAGATGAACGGTCCTTATTCAGCGCTAGGGTTAGCGGGGTTTGGGAAGGGTTTGGAGCAGTCAAAGCTATGTTTGACCAGATTTCAAATGAGCATAATAAATTAAATAAAAATCAGAAAAATGAAAAACCTGCGCACATAGTCTTCTTATGTCATATACTAACGATTTAAGTTGATAAACAAGTTTTACATACATTTAAATGATAAGTTCATGTGTATTGTATGATATCTCGAGTATCTCAAACTCTCTGATATGAAGTGAAGAGAAGTGTTTTGGGGAAATGAACATGAAAATTTCAAAAAACTCACCACAGCTTCATTTTGGAGTGACTAAGAAGGATCCAGGCTTAGTTTTTCATTTTGATGTTTTACACTTGTTTAAATCTTGGTCAAAGTTAAGTTTGACCAGATTTCAAATGAGCATAATAAATTAAATAAAAATCAGAAAAATGAAAAACCTGCGCACATAGTCTTCTTATGTCATATACTAACGATTTAAGTTGATAAACAAGCTTTACATACATTTAAATGATAAGTTCATGTGTATTGTATGATATCTCGAGTATCTCAAACTCTCTCGTATGAAGTGAAGAGAAGTGTTTTGGGGAAATGAACATGAAAATTTCAAAAAACTCACCACAACTTCATTTTGGAGTGACTAAGAAGGATCCAGGCTTAGTTTTTCATTTTGATGTTTTACACTTGTTTAAATCTTGGTCAAAGTTAAGTTTGACCAGAATTCAAATGAGCAAAACAAATTTAAAAAAAATTAAAAATGGAAAAACCAGCGCACATAATCTGTACATATAGAATATATGTGTAGGAAAGTTATTTGGCTGATTTAGATAAGGTCGAAAAAAACCTTGCTTAGAAATGAGGCCGTTTACCCTACCTTTGGACCCCTCTTTTTAGCACATTTTTCATGAAAATTTCAAAAACCTCACCACAACTTCATTTTGGATTGACTAAGAAGTATCCAGGCTTAGTTTTTCATTTTGATGTTTTAGACTTGCTTAAATCTTGGTCAAAGTTAGGTTTGACCAGAATTTAAATGAGCAAAACAAAAATCAAAAAAATCAAAAAAAGGAAAAACCATGTGCTCATTCAAACATCATCCAACAGATATTTAAACATCATATCAAACATACTTCTAACATAGTTCCAACATCATCCAACAGAAATACAACATGTCAAGTGATAAATGTTTCATAATACAACATCATTCCTTATTCATAATGTTTCATAATTGTTCATAGATAGCGTTGGGGCTTCTGTCTGTTCCTTGAGCTTCTTGCCATCACTTTGCTCCTCGTGCACCTTGTGCTCATTGTTTCTTCTCTTCTTCTCTTGGTTGTCGGTACCTTGCGCGTCTTCTTCAAACCTACCATAGAGCTGTGCAAAACATAAAGGATCCAAACATAAACGGTAATGAGATCGTGTCAAGTGATAGATGTACAGTAGTATTTGACCCTTGCAAGATTTACATACCTAGTAGAACTCACAACAACAGAAGGTTGGTCACCATTTGGAGCCTCACTTGGATCACCATGATCACCATTTAGAGCCTCACTTGGATCACCATTTGGAGCCTCACTTGGATCATCATTTGGAGCCTCACTTGGATCACCATGATCACCATTTAGAGCCTCACTTGGATCACCATTTGGAGCCTCACTTGAATCATTATTTGGAGGATATTTTGGATCATCGTCAAAATCATGCGGCTGTTGACCATCATCATTTGGAACCTCGTCAAAATCCTCATCTGATGCAACCGGATGTTGACCATTATTTTCATCATCTGTTGAGGCAACCGGCTGTTGACCAACATTTTCATCATCTGTTGAGTCAATCGGCTGCTGACCAACATTTTCATCGAAGCCTTCATCGAAACTCTCTCCGAACGCTGGATCTACTGTGTTATCACAATACTTACCGAAATGACCAGACCCACCACATCTTGTGCACTTACGCTTCCTCGCTCCAAGTCCAGCTCCTTCGCTGCGAGGTCTTATTCGACTCTTCCTTGGTCTACCTGCTGCTCTCTTCAGAACTGGAGCGCAAAGCTTGAATCCAGGGTCCACCATGTCCCATTGTTGTTTTCCCTCCATAGCAGGCAAGGCATAAGCATATGTGGCTTTGAACCTTGCAACAGAGTAGTAATCATGCACATATTGATGTATGTTCCCTGCTGGACCTGGAAGAGAAGTGATGAAAAACAAGGCATGAATGCATGGCAACCCAGTTATCCGCCATTGCCTACAACTGCAAGTTCTAGCTTCTAAATCCACTGGATATCTCCATTCCCTCTTCTCTTTATCCAAATATGATATCTCTGCTGTGGTACCCGAGCAAAGCGTCATGTTCATTTCCAAGCCTATTGTCTTCTGCTTCAGTTCATTCATCACGGCAGGGATGATAATGTGGCCCATGAATTTTGCCTCGGCTATTCCTGCACGATAATGAAATTTCTGCATGTATTCCATCCTTATCCTGTCAAGCAAATCCACCACATAATGACCCTTTAGTTTCCGGATCGTTGAGTTGAAAGACTCTGCTAGATTATTGTGCACATAGTCAACTTTGCTCACTTCACTGAATTGGCTTCTGGCCCATAACTTGGAGTGGTGTGTTTCCAAGTATTCTTTCACTTTGGGATTCATGTATAACTGCCTCAAGTGGTAGTTGTGCTTCTTCACACTGCATGTCAAAGATGCTGGCCATAAATTGTCGGTATACACATTTCCTTTGAATTTCTTCATGAAATTTGCAGCAAGGTGACGCATGCATTCCCTATGCTCTACTCCAGGGAACACATTGTCCACGGCCACTTCTAAACCTTTGCAGGCATCTGTATGAATGACCAACCCATTGGGATGTGCAATAGCCCGGCGGAGATTATGCAAAAACCAAGTCCAGCTCTCCTCAGACTCTGTCTCCAGCACACCATAGGCAACTGGAAATACAAAACTATGTGCATCAACTGCACAAGCTGCTACTAACTGTCCTTTAAACCTTCCTGTGAGAAAAGTGGCATCAATAGCCAAATAAGGCCTGCAGCCTGCCAAAAAACCCCGGCGACAAGCCTCAAAGCAGACAAAAACCCTTCTAAAGCATTCCTTGGTCTTTGTCACTCCCCTGAATGTGTACTCCACGGTGTGGTGATCAATATCTACAATACTACCTGGGCTTGTCCTCTCCACTTCACCTTTGAATGAATACAACAATTGAAAACTTTCCTGCCAGTTACCATAAATAGAATCCATAGCATGTTGTTTACCATTGAACAACCTCATGTATGGTAAATCTATCTTGAACTTATCTTTGATGTTCTTCTGCAATTCCTTTGGACCCACTTGCTGGTTTTCTTTCACCCACTTTTTTACTTCTTCTGCCACCCATCTTGACTTGGCTCTACTGATTGTATCCTTCCTAAGGGTTGATTCCTGGCATGTGTGCTTAAAAGGATTCACTTTGACCTGAACATTAGTGCTATTCCGCATTTTAGCTGCAAGCAGCCTCCATGGACAACCCTCAGTCGGACAGTGCACTCTGTAACGTACTTGATCGCTCTTGTCAACTTTGAAAATACGTTCTACCTTGATGCAGTATGTCACAAGTGCATTTCTACACTCATTCATGGATGCAAAAACTGTACCTTCTTCCATTTGAGGGTTCAAAGGGTCCCATTCAACAGCTGCAAGGTCTTCGTCCTCAGCCATCGCGTCATCATCCACACGGACTGCATTGTGAGCCTCATCTTGGTTTTCAGCCCGAGGTGCCCGTCGTAAATTCTGAATAACATCAGAATATAACTTCTCTTCATCAACCCCAGAATTGTAGCCATCAGGCTCCACTTCAAGGGGGACCCTACTGCTGTTGCCCACACTTGTCGAGCCACCACGTCGCCGTGCACCAACTGAACTGTTCTGGCTAGAGATGCCATTACGACGACTTGATTCTCCCCGAGATGTTGCACCCGCCATCCTAGGTCCAAATGCCTGCTCAAGCACATCAACTTGCAGCCTCACATGAAAATTATCTTTCTCTTTATGCCTAACAAACATGGTAACTAGCTCTTCATCATTACTAACTGTCACCCAATTCTTTTCCCCATCATAGTATTTGTATACCACTTCATCAAGCAAACCCCAAGGATATTGGCTACAAATTACCTCCCCAAATTGTCTGAAACTCCAATTACTAGCCATTGGCAACCGATAATCAAAACCTCCTTGGTATTTCTTCTTATCCTTTGCATCGAACATGTACCGGTCCCTTCTAATGTGCACCATGAAAGCAAACCGCAACTCCATCCTAACCGGCGAAAAACAGAGACGCAATCAGCACACTAATTGGGCAAACCTACTCGAATCGAGTGTTCAAATGCACAACTAAGCTCAATCTAAACAAGAGGCGAGACTTACCCCTCGGGAACCCAGTCGTGGACGCGGCGGATCTCCGGCCCGATGCCTGCCTCGCCAAATACTCCGGGGTCGCCGCTGCTCACCATTTCGCCCTAGGGTTCTTCCTCCTAGTTCAAATAGCTCCAGCAGCCCCCCACCTTTGAGCGCTCCGGCCGGGCGCACGGAAGGAGGCCGCGCCGCGAATCGAGCAGGTGGCGGGCGCCCCACCCGTGGCGTCGCAGGAAGGTGGTGGGCGTCACAATGAGCCGTGGAGCGTAGGCGCAGGGAGGTAGCGGCGGAGCAGGCCGTGCAACTGGTGGCGGGGCAGGTGCTGGCCGCGGCGCAGGTGGTGGCGGCGGCGGCGCAGGACAGCCGACCGGGCGGATGGGTGTGAACTAGAATGATTTGGGGATTTAGTTGCAGGGGCCTACATGTCAGCTCCGGACCCACGTCCACGCGGTCCCACGTGTAAGCTCCGGACCCACAACTACTAACGCCGGCGGACGGAATTGACTCAAATATGGCCGTTTGGCCTCGTCGTAGCTGCTGTGCTCGGACTAGGAGCAAAACTGAGAACAATTCGCATCTGAGGGCAAAACTGAGCACATGAACACCACTGAGGGCAAAAGGATAATTAACCCAAGATAATAGGGCAACACCACTAGCGAACTGAAACCCAAAAGATATCCGGGATTTTCAGCAGGTAATAAGAATAATAATACTAACGTTCAGAGAACAAAACACAGCTCAAGCTCTCGGTCGAGCAGAAACGAAACGTCGGCCCGCCCATCAGAAGAGGTCCACGTTGACGGTGATGCTGCCGGACGAGCCCCAGAAATCGTCGGGCACGATCAGTAAGCGCCTAGCCTTGTACCCCTGCAGCTGACGGACGAACTGCGCTTTCCCCGACGCCGACACCCACCACGGATACTCGGCATGCACCCTCACAACGTACCGCCCGTCCACCTGAGCCGCGTATGGGCAGATGCGGACCAACGACAGCGAGCGTCCCGTGAGGTCGTCGCCGCCGTTGAGCAGGAGGAACACGCTCTCCTCGTCGGGGTGGAGCAGCGCGCGGAAGGGGGTCGACTTCTGTAGCGTCACCTTGACGGTCATGGCATGGGTCGTCCACGTCTTATTGGCGGCCAAGGTGGCGGCGTCGCCGGCTGGCTCGTGGGCGTCCCGGATGTGACCGTAGAGGAGGCGGCCGCGGTAGTCGCAGCCGTCGAACGGGCAGCTGTACGGCGCGAAGCGGCATGCCTCCTCCTCGTGGGCGCGCGCCTCGGTGTACCGGACGGTCTCGGTGCAGCCGTGCTTCTTGAACCTGCAGGGCCTGGTCATGCCGGCGAGGATCTTCTCCGTGGCACGGCACCGGAAGTCGCCGATGGGCTCGTTGCAGCTGGGGCACTTGCGGTGCATGCTGATGCAGCACTTGGCGCACGCGGCGTGCCCGTTCTTGCACTGATCAATCAAAAATTCAGAGTTTAAGACAGAGAATGTACAGCAGTTAGCAGAGTTTAAGACAGAGAAAGTACAACAGTGAGCAGAGTTTAAGACAGAGGAAAATATGTTTGAGAACTTTAGCTGCTTGCCGAGTAAACTTGCGACTCAAATGGGTAAAAGCATATATCTCAAGGGAGAACACGTTGAAGATCTCTTCTTCCTCTTCCTCTTGATGCTTCGTGTTGCCCTTGCTTGTTGTTCTCGCCTTCTTGGGTTCGCCAACACCATTGGTGCCTTTCTTGGCGCTCCTTTTCTGCATCGCCGGATCTCGTACGGCCAAACTAGGCATCTAAAGCAGTTTTGAATCGATTCATCAGCAAACCGGCAGGCACTTGGCGGGGCCGAGCGAGACGGCGTGGTTCCAAAATGTCGCCGAGGTCGCTTCGAAACAGGCGGACTGCGATGGCCACCGTGCCGGCCGACGGCGTCCCCGAGGGAAAGGGCGAGGCGTCGACCACCGCGCGGCCGAGGAAGTTGGAGCCACCATGGTCGGCAGAGGACAGGAGGGACGGGAAGGATGAGGGTACGGTGGCCGGAGATGACGCCAACATTGGCGTTCCCTGGTGCGCGCCTGGATGGGTTTGGGTTTGGGAGGGGAAGCATCGCCTCTCGCACGCGGAACATAGTATTGACTCCAGGAACAAAAAGTCGTAAGTCACACGTGCGCCCCCCACGCGGATGGATGACTACCTATTGTATATATAGACATGATGACATGGTGGAGACAGCTAGGTGATCCATGGCCAGAGACAAGGCCATGCCGCGGATCAATGACATGGCGCAAGCACGACCCTCCTTGGTATTAGAGTACAGCTTCCCTTCAATAAAATTCATGCACGCCTTTGTGTTAGGCTGGTCATAGTGGGGAGTAACATATACTAGTATCATGCATATGATACTAGTGTATGATACTATATCCATAGTGTATAGTATCATAAAGTAGTATCATAGGTGGTATCATTTATTGTCATGCATGACACATAGTAGCATAACATTTATTATGTTACGGTATCTACCTATGTTACTATGACCTTCTCTTTCTTCTTTAATTATCTGCCACGTAAGCATGTTTGCGAATCCCAAGTACATGATACTAGTTATGTTACCCCCACTATGGCCAGCCTTAATTCACATGCCAGTCAGTTGTGTCTTAGTTAATGCCTCGAAGGAAATGGCAATAGTATAACAGCTTTGTGCATGCCATTCTTATTCTCCCGCAAACCAACAACCATGATTTAATCAAGGATCGCTTCGATTGAGTGAGCCTCAAAACAGAGCAATTTGTTTGCTTGCCATTCTGGTGCCAAGTTAGTAATTACATTAGGGCAACTTGAAAATGTGGTACCTCAAGTTTCTCCTTTTTCTAGCAAATCTTTCATGTCAAGTCTACTTTCTTTAAGGATGCGAAAAATAGACAAGGTGGGTTGCGCTTAATTGTCCTAGAGTGAGTTTGTTATTACTCATTAGAACCAACTCATCTTTGTAATGTTCCAAGCCTTGTTTGATGTTGATGGGCATGGGCAGTATCTTTTCTTTTGTTTTTCACAAGAATCACAAGCAAATGTATATGCTTGCTAGATTTTACAACATATAGCAGCTATATTCTCATGAGAGCACGCATGCAAGAAAATGAAAATAATAGGGACTTGTGTTTCATAATCATCAGAACTACTATGATAAGAGCGTTGGCCCTCGTTTATAACATTTGTTTTACTAGAAACATAGAAATATCGGAGTGCAGAATTATTTCAAAATATTGAACCATAACCTGTAGAGTACAACACGCCATTACATTACATTACATAGACCAAAGAAAAGAAAGACATGCTGCAGCACCAGCACCAACCACTTGTTTCAACAACTTGTCCATACTTCAAACAAACACCGCAACAAGCAAATGCACCTCTCCCATAGTTATAGTGGCCTACAGAGAAGGAGAAGCAGGACCTTCATTGCCGCGTTTCAAACAGACATTGCTAGAATACAAAACAAGAACCTGGGACAAGTAGCTTGATCCACACACCTAGAACAAACATCACCCCAATATCCGGCTGCAACCCAAAACGACAAGCTCGGATATACAACCTTACACAACATTAAAAAAACAACCTTAGTCATGCCCGCACGTCCACACCGTCAACAAGTCAGGCAGGCTTCCTGGGCAAAGAGAGAGAGAGAGGGAGGGAGGGAGGGAGGGAGGGAGGGAGAGAACATGATTAGTTCCCAGAATTTCTAGAAAAAACAATCGAAATGCAGCCACAAGAGAGCACATCCTTCTGGCAGCTACATACATTTATGGGCACATCCTAGTGTTAGGTCATTAAAAATTAGATGTTCATCGTAACAATTTATTCTCCAATCTGAAGTAGGCTAGGATTTCATTGAACAAAAAATAGTCTGCATCTAATGATTGATAAAAGCAGCACTTTTAGATGTTCACAAGCCAAACATATGCTGGTAAGCGAATAGCAAAACAGAGAAACTTTTAGACTCTTGACACTCGAGATGGCTCAAGGCCTCAAGCAATCATAATAGTGAGCAAACCAGAATTAAAACACCATGTTCAGGAAGAGAATATGCATGTTAGCTAGCACAGAACTACAAGAGACCAATTTCATTGAAAAGAAATATCATCACAACCAAATAATTGTGGTGGACAGAAGACCACTACCAAGATCCGAACACTAAGTCATCGGCACGACAGCCGTCGATGGCTCGATGAACAGCACAAAACAAAAAGAGTTGATAACTTTCATTGTTTCGTTACTTATTCATCAAAAAGAGCCACACCTATTTACATATCTTTCAGGTACACACAAATGTATATGACCTTTATTCATTTCAAGTAGGCACACAGAGCATAAGAGGGAGCACAAGAGAGGAACCAGCGGCTTACCTATGTTTATGCCGGTAGTCTTCTAGTTCGGGATCGCTCCGCCCTCTGGAAAGATCAAACTTCTAGCAATGGCGGCTGCAGGTCAACGGTCCTGACCGGGTTTCTCCTTCAGCCATGGTTTCCTCCTAATCATCATCCAAAACAAAATGTTATTGCGACAAGATACACATTAGGAAACACAAAGTGCAACAAAAAGGCCAACTATATCCTCCTGATCATCACACACAAACCACCTAGTTTTGCTCTTTGTTTAGTAGACAATGTACTGGAGTGGAGCCTCTATAAAGTATGCAAATCATCCATCAGTTGCTCAAAGCATATTTTATATCATCCTTCACAGTACTCCCTCCGTCCCAAAATAAGTGTCTTAACCTTAGTATAACTTTGTACAAAGTTGAGACACTTATTTTGGGACGGAGTGAGTACATAACAAGAATTAGTTGTACACGAGGATAAACAACTCACAAGTTAGAACTCAAAATTTGAGGTTCGTGGCCCAGTTTTGGGAGGATTTAACTAGGTATGATTGATATGCAGTACTCTACAAAATTTTGCTCCAGCAATATTTGCAAGCTAAAGGTACATGTGGTCCTTGAATACTACATACTACCACTAGGTATTAGTAGTTATGTACTGTAAATTCAGTTCTACAGTACCATGTTGACTGGTCTCGCACTAGTCTAGACTAGTCACGATTACTCTGAGTCTCAACCTTGGAACGACTCGACATCTCTTCGACTCGTAGACATTGCACAAGGGACTCACGGGGGTCGAGGAGTAGCGGCCACCATCACAGCCAAACATCTGTCATAACTCTGTGGGGGAAGCCGAGGTAGTTGCAGGTCCACCGAGCAACAGTAGCTGGAAATGAAGGTTATGACGCAGACACCACTGTCCACTCAATGCTCGACGCCGAAGAGTTCGCCGGGACTCATTGGCCTAGCTAGGCCATCAATCTTGGCTATGATTGGTGTTGAACTACTTGTTTATGATTGGTATCACTGCAAACAGTTCAAAAGTTCAAACACGACAGGGTCAAGTGGCTGCAAAGCAAGTATGAGAATACTTGGAACCTAAGCATGACTACAATAGAACATACAATACAAATAAGCACAAGATGACCAGGTTCCACTGTCAAGCATGATAACAGACAGAACAACAGTACGAGCATATAAAAAGATTGCACAGGCAGAACAATGAAGTTCAACACCAATCATAAACAAGTAGTTCAACGCCAGTCATAAACAAGTAGTTCATCACAAAGATGGAGATGCATGGTTTTGTGCAACCTCAACCCACAGATTGATCCAGAGCATGTGCAGATCCAATCTCTTCAACCAACAAAGCTAAAATAATCAGCAACTAAACCATCATGTAGTTAGCCGCCTCATGTGGACCGGGTGTCACCATCATCACGTCAAAAATCCATTAGAAATGGATATTGACATGACAGAGAACAAAAAGATACGGTCCTAAAAGATTTGTTCCTTTCATATAAAGTTCTACAACTAGACGGTACCATGCAGAGATCCTAAATAGGTATCAATCCCTAACAAACAGCATATACAGTAGCAGCAGAGGGACCAATTTCAACGATGAGATGCAAGATTGTAGTGGCTTGAAGACCACCACCACATGTCGCAGCGAGCACACAACCCGAACCCTAGATCATTAGCTCGATGGCCAGACCATTTCAAGGCACATGTAGAGATAGGGGAGATGAGGGACTCACCAGAACCGATGAAGGGGTGCCACCAAGCAATAGTAGCTCGACATAGAGGTTACGACGCATCCACCGCTGTCCCGTAGATAGGTCGGCGCCGAAGCGTTCACCGAGACCCATTGACCTTGGCCATCATTCACGGCTATGACTATAGAGGTTACGACGGTACCATGCAGAGATCCTAAATAGGTATCAATCCCTAACAAACAGCATATACAGTAGCAGCAGAGGGACCAATTTCAACGATGAGATGCAAGATTGTAGTGGCTTGAAGACCACCACCACATGTCGCAGCGA